GTTGTAGTTGTTGTTGTTGTTGTTGTTGGGAAGGGGGGGTGGGGGGTGGGAGATGGAGAGAAATTGGTTGCTTTTAAGGACAAGCAGGCTAACCCAGATTTTGAGGATTTCCAGAAACCTTGACCTACACCAAAAATGGGCATTGCCCTACCTATAGGAGAAGTTTGGTTTCATTAGAGTGTATATTTGTTTGGTTATAGAGAAAACTCTCTATGTCTTTTAAAGAAACTGAGCATGGGGCAAAAACTTTACCTTTGATTTTCTCAAAACAGCATTTTTCGGGATAGCCTCTTTGTGCTTAAAAGCAACCAATTGAGAAAGAAAAATGGGACTAACTGACCATGCAAGAACATTATTATAAAGTGGTGTAAGCTTTGTTTATGAGGTATCACACAACTGCATGTGCTTTTCAATTTTAATTTGAAGTATTCATTTATTCTTTTTTGTTTTGCAAGTGTATAAATGTCTTTTACCTTTTGCCTCATGTTCAGTGTAATGGTGTCAGCAAAGGAGAACGACCTCTCGGTTCACCTGGCAATACAGAATTTCTTGCGAAAAATTCTGGAGAAAGACTACCACATTGACAGGAAATGGAAAGCTCATGAAAAAATTGTGAAAGAGAAGAAGCCAAGATATGAGTTCCATCCCATGATGACTAAAGTTGGGATCGATGAGGTAGGCCCTAGATTTGAATGTTTTTATATTGTCATTGAAGAATAGAGTCTGTTAGGCAAAATATATCCATTTAATCTAAACAGAATGGTAAGAAAAAGAACAAGAACGATAATGACCAAATTAACCCTATCCGTACGTCGTGTTTTACTATCGTATCCATACGATGTGGGGAACTCTGTGCCACCACTTTCCTAAGAGGAAATTTACTCGTTAATCGGATCCGTACACTTTGCATAGCAGTCTGAAAAAATATTTTTTTGAGAAATACTTAAAGTTTCAAAGAGATCTTCGTACTAGAAGTATTCTAAAATGTGAAGAATACAACCTCTGGTGTACAAAATGACCCTGGGGCATACGGATAGGGTTAAGTTCCTGTCACACGAAACAGGACTGATATGCATTAAAAGAGACTGTAACTAATGTGTGTTGAAAAATACATACTCACTCAAGCATGCATATGTGCACGTGCACACGCGCGCACACACGCCCACACACACACACACATACACGCACACACACACACACACACACACACACACACACACACACACACACACACACACACACACACACTGTTATCATGAACACACAAATGCACACGCTCACATATGCATCCGTTGATGAATACATATATATATACACATGCATCCACACCCATTCACACTAATACTGATAATTTGGCAAGAAACTAATCATGGAACTTCCATAAAGGTCTTTAAGATCAATCTATATAAATAAAAGGCTGTTGAACTTTGACTAAGCCAAATGACACTGTTTCTAGATATTTGTTTTTTTTACAATGAAAGGAATGGTTTAGTTTTTCTCAATGTATAGATTAACAGGGAGTGAACTTTCTGAGAATGACAAACTGTTTTATACTCGGTTTTGTTACAAAATTTAGTTGTTTTCTCCAGCAAGATGACTCATTCCCTTCAGCTTTGAGCAGCTTCACTTAAGTTGTTTTTTTCTTTGACTTCTTATCCTTAAAATCTCTCTAAAAAAAATTACTTTACAATTTTGGCAAAATGGTTTAATGCGGCGACTAAATAATGAATGCTGTAAAAATAATTACAATCAATTGAATCGATTATTTCCCTGTGTGTATTTTAAGTTTTGATATTTTTCTCAGTGAACTGTCAGAGCCAAGGCATAGGGCTATGGGTTGTTAGTGACAGCAGGAACAAGAGACTACAAGCATATCAATGTTAGGGCTTATAAGATAGGTGGTCTCTCGTAGATATCCTATAAAATGGCAGCTTGATTTGTATGCTTCCCGGGAAGTTGAGATTGTTTCAGAATGCTATCAGGTCTGCTGGGGTAATCAGCTTGTAAAGCGCTGAGAGCTTGCTGTTGGACGGGAATTTGCATATACAAATGCTATTCATTATTATCATTATGATTATCATTATTATCCTTGAGCAAGACATGTTGACCACATGTTTAAAACAGGGTGCTGCACAGTGGCAACTGACACTTGTGTGGTATTGCCTTAATTTGGTATGATGTTGTGTATTGTATATGTATTAATTTCTTACATTCAATTGCTCAAACAATAATTTCTTAATGTCCCATTGGGAATGATACATTTCACTTTTCTGTTCTTTGTATTAAGATTGATGCTCAGTTTGAGGTTGCTGATGGTATCATCCACCGCGTAAAATCCCTGCGTCTGTACCAGAACGACTGCTTTGTGAAGTTTGCAGAACATTGCGTTGACATTGGAGTGATTGAGACGACAAAGGAGGCCAGCCTCCAGAACTGCCTCGTTGCACTGAGAGACAAGATGGCGTCCTTGGATCTGAAGCTGAAGGTGTGTTTCTGAATAAGAGAAATGTGTCGAGAAATGAGTTGTGATATGTTGTGGTTCTTGTGCACTTTTGCTGATGAGTGCATACATTTGGAATTGTGGAAGGTGGCCAGCCATTGTCGAAGAGAAAGGTGGTTGTCTTGTACAGCGCGACCTCAGTGCTTCCTTGTAGTATTTCCATTTTTTTTTACAGTGAAAATGTGACTTTTTCTTAAGCTCACTCTTTGCAGTGAACTGTTTTCACTGTTATTAAAAATGGAAATACGACAAGAAAGCACTGAAGTGTCTTTAGGCCATCCCCAAAGGAGGGATATTATCATGTTCTTTTGTACAGTAGAATTGTTATTGGGCTGATTTATCAATGTCATGCTCATACTTTGCCGAAACAACATAAGGGGAACTGCTGCTTTTTCTTTCCTTATTCTTACTCTCGTAATTTGTCCTCTACTTCTTTTGTATGTTTATCACCATCTTTTGAACTGCTATTTCCGGGGTTCCTTGGTATTTGAAACAGACTTTGTGCTGTTGAGGCTAGAGAGGTGAGCAGAGTAAGCCTGATTCCCCATTTAGACTTCTCTGTTGAATCCACCTCTTAGCGCTTATGACCTTATGCAGTTGCGAGCGCTGTAAAACCTTATTTAAAAAAAAAAACCCAACATCTTTTCTCCCTGTACTAAAATTTAATGACGGTTATTGTGCCAGTGGGCCCCTTTTTACGTAAACTCAGACTCAAAGCCAATATAGGTGGGTTGGTGGCAGGTGCTCTGGTGTGGTTTGCTCTTTCTTTCTGATCAATATCTATGGTCTTTATCTCTCCTCCTTCTTTTTTGTGTATGCTACTCTCTCTTATTATAACACCTCTAGTCTTTGGCACTTATATTGTGTTGCAAGTGCCGTAAAACTCTTACGAAAATTAAACAAATTTTTTCATAATGTATTGTTGCAGGTGGTTGAAGGGCACCACTGGTAGATCCTACTTCTTTCCTTTCCCTCATTTGTTTCTGTCTGTCTGTCTTACTTTTCTCCCCGCACTAAATGTTGGATATTGCGCGAATGTTCTCCTGTTTACTGAAGCTCAAACTCAAAGCCAATATATTTCAGGCTTTTGGCCCATGAACTGCAACTTCATCTCGTCCTTTTTTTCCCTCGTGCACCAGCTGACACTTCAAGATGACTTCTACACCCTGGAGGTCAAGGCCAGCAGTGAGGACGCAGAGCTGGATACTCCGGTCAGATACACGATCAAAACCTTCAATAAAGAGGTGAGCCTCAGAAGCCTTCTGTCTTATTCGTGTCTAAGTAATGCTGCTGTCATTTTTACAAAGTACAGTATATGCAGTTTTTACAATTTTACAGGAGAGCCCCCCAAAATACTGCATCTTGTTACCAAGAAAACAAACTCTTTGCAAACATCCCAAGTGATTATTTTTAAGAATACAAATTTGATAATAACTTCCTTATTAAAGCAAATTTTTTTTTTGGGGTAACAGCACTCAGTTTTTTGGGTCTCCTGTAAAACTTTTAAAACTGCATATACTGTACTTTAAAGAATAACTTCAGAATGAAGATAGGTGGTTGGTTTTTTCTCTCTCTATTTTTTCCTTCCTGATGTCTTCTAATGACTGTCCATTGTGGTGTGGCAGTTATGAGGGGTGCCCATAGGCACGATTGGGTTGGGTTGGGTCAGTTTGCTAGCCAGATTGAGAACTCAAAAGTGGCTATCATGGCACAAACTGATTGCCCGACTCTTCACCTGAAAAACAAATGCGTTTGTTTTCAGGGGACGAGTCAGGCAATTGACCCGACACAACCCTATCCCATCCACAATGGGCACTTGGTATTAAACATGCAGAAGACCTGAATTCTATTCTCATGTGGAAGGAATTTTTATCGAGTATCTTGGTCTTTCTTCTGGAAAGTTGTATGGCTCTACTTTACGGATCCATTTTTATTCATGATCCCTCCAC